GAATACAGCTTAGCTAATGACCAGATGCTGCTCAGTGGCATCATGGGAATCACTGAGGAATTATTCCAGTTCGGTCATGGATTGTGGGAATCCAGCATCCATCGACGCCTCTGTGCATTTTTTGGAATGCAAGCTGCCATTTTGAAGGCAGCATTCATTCCATCATCCTTTTCTTTACTATTATCTTAATGGTTTGAACGCAATACATGTTGCAAACTGGCAAAATCATAAGACACAACTGGGCAGCAAGATTCTGCTTCTCTCTGACAGATGGTTGGATTAGGGACACCTGGGCAGCCACACCATGTTCATCAAACATGACAAATATGAGTATGTCTCTGTAGGTCTGCAGTGAGGTGTGTTACTTCTGAAAAGGGGCATAACCCTTATTCTGCTTGCTACATATCAGTGCATGCAGCTCAAAAGCCATCGAATTAGACGCATGAACAGCATTGTTAACTCCAGTGCATCAGAACCATGAGTCACCCTCCGCTACATTCAGCTACACACAGACACACACACACGCGTACACGCACACACACAACATGCATACAGCGTGAGCAAAGGAGCACAAAATGGCACCTGTATGTAAAGACGGCGGATGGCAGCAGGATGAGTGGGATTCTTTTGAAGGTGCCAGTGACACAAATGAGACAAAATCTAACATAACTTTGTAAAGAAATGGCATGAACAACTTAACATTGTGTTTAATTGTCTCACATTCAAATGCAAAATCCTGCAGAAATCCCAATGCCTACTTTGAGTCTCATTAAATACACACATACTGACACATCCACAAGCAAAAAGCACAAGCACTGGTGACTCCATTTTATCTAATTCAAATGAGAGCTAATTAAAAATACACAGCAGGATTTCTAGCAGTCAGACAGTTTTTTAATGGCTTACCGTTTGGTCACCCATCCATGGTCCAGAGAGCCAACAGCCCATCTCCACAGCAACAGAAGGCAGCTGCCGAGGGTTTTGGTAAAATCAGCGGCTCTGCTGGTTCCCTTCAGCAGATCGCCTCTTCTGCCTCCTCCTCTTCCTCCGCCTTGCAATCTCTCTCTTTCTTTCTTTTATTCTCTCTCTCTCTCTCTAATCACAGTGCCTTTTCCCCTCAGCTTTTATCCTCAGCTTCTGTTTCCCCACACTTTCATTCAAGCAGGACCTCTTGTTTTCCATCTGTTTCTTCAACATCTCTTGCCACATCTCCTTCAAAAACTGCTTGAAATTTCAACATTCTGCACACAAACAGAGGCACGACATGCATGCATGGCAGCGCTGCAGTCATAAAAAAAAATATGCGCAGGCTGACAGTGCGTTCAGAGATGGAGAGGGAAACACACAGCCAGGATGCTGTCTGATTGGTGTCCTTTAAAGAGTCATCAGCCAATCACATGCACTGTTCTCCTTGTGGAGGTTTTCCTCTGTGTCTGAAACTCCTCAGCAAAGCTTCATGCAAGAGGCAGCCTCCACTGCAGTGATACACTCGGCAGCAGGGGAAACACGCTATCAAACTATCCATCTTCTAGCTGCTCAGCTAGGATCTCCCCCTAGCAGATGCATGCTGGGAGATGGAGTGAAGGCATTGTGGCTCTTTCTTGCGTATCGGAATCAACCCGAAAGATGTTCTACTTTGACAAGTTTATTAATCTGAGTTTTGAAACAAACTTAAAAGAGGATGCTCAGTCCCTATCTTAGGCATTTTTTTCAGACTTTCGTTTGTATCAAATTCTCAAGTACAAGAGCAACAACACATTTTCACAAGTCACAAAGGACAGCACAAATGAAATAAAAAAAAAATAAACCTATACTGGTTGTAGTAGTGTGCACACTCTTTTTTCTTTTCTTTTTTTTTTTTTTTTTTCTTTAGTGGCCTTTTTTAACAGGAAAGTGAGTTTCCTGTTAAACTCACTTTAACAGGAAACTCACTTTAACAGGAAACTCACTTTTGTTAGTCAAAATGCTTTTGACTAACAAAGCATTCTGGCTTTGTTAGTCAAAAATTTGGATTTATCTTCTGTTGATTTAGACTTGCACTCATTATGAAGCTGAAAAAATACATTCTGTTTTTATGGTCAGCATTCTGATAGACCACTGAAGGTTTGGGGCCAAAACTGTCAGGTGTTCTGTTCTTGATTAAAGAAACTCATTTAATATCTTGGGAGGAAATTTGTGGATGAACACAAATTAATAAAATATTCCATATTTTCACATCACGTCATCTGATATTTCTTCCCTACCAGGTAGCGACTGTGTCAGCTTTTCTTGTACTATCCACAACATTCTTCCCTTTTTAACTTTTTCCAATTCATCCTTACATCGGACTTCACTCACTTGCTCCTCTTGATTTCCAAGGTATTCAACATTCAATACTGCCTGGCTACTTTCTCTCTTGACAGTGTTTCAGTAGACATGTCTAGTCAAAATCTAGGCCTAACTACACCTAAGAGAATGTTATAAGTGTGTGAATTGATGTTCACAGATGCTCTCCACCCATTATATAGAAGCTTGAGCATCACTGCAAAACAAAAACAAAAATTAGCTCTCTAAATATTGGTTCATGAACAGAAAACTCTAAATTTTATTATTTTCTTATTTTTATTTGAAAAACAAAATTCAAACTAAGAATCATTTTCCTTTCAATCTCATGTTATGCATTGCTTTATGTTGGATACATAAAATCCCATTAAAATGTGATACTTTTCTCTGCTGAAGAACAGTGTCACAATGTTTCATTGCGGGGATGGTGTATTCTTTGCAATTTGTAAGGGCACCTTTTCCCACATATGCAGAAAGGATCCACTGCAGGGATTGTGTCAAACTGCAAGCACTTGTTATGTCTTTCTTTGAAAAACCAATTACTCATTGACCATTTTAGAAATAGGGAAGATTTGACCATTATTTAACTTTTTTAATTGAATAATTAAAGATTTTATTTGCAGAAAAAAATGAAACCCAAATTCTTTCCTACTAATTTATGATTATGTTCTACTCTGTGTGAGCCAATGAAATAGAATCCTCATAAAATACATTACAGTTTGTGACAAAAATAATAAACAGTAAGAAAAATAGGTTTAAAAAACCTTTTTAAGGCACAATACCTGCCTAATTACATAAATCTGAGAATTGATTTTACTCTGGTTGGTCTTCCCGATATGCCACCTCATCTTCCTCCCTCCACTTGGTTGATTTAGGAAGCCAACACTTGATTGATGAAACTACTTGACATATGTGTGAGTTTGATCTGTAGCTTTCGAACAGCTGGTACGAGAACATATTTTACAAAGCATCCTTTGCTTTTTATGTCGACATGACAACAGACCACCTCCTGCCCACAAAGTCATCTGTACGCCACTTGAACATAGTTTCATTTCATCTGGTTCACTCTAAATGACCCTGCTTTTTAACTGTTTGGTTGTCATGGTAACAGGCTTGCATGAAAAAAGAAGGGATTGTGTGTGTTGCTTGTGAATTCACTGGAATGTCTTTTACTAGAGCAGCTCTCCTTTTTGTGCACCGATGCTGAATACGAGTGTTAGTGGTGACACCGTGGACGGACAGATGGTGGCAGTGATAATGGATGCATGTCTTACTGCTGATGAACGTGATGATGATGAAGATGATGGGTGCATCTGGATGCCTGTAGCTGAGCTCTGCCATTTTTGTACTAAAGTGCGGAGGCGGAAAGAAAGAGCGATGGAGAGTGAGCATGTGTGCTTTACCCACTCACACACACACACACCCATACTGTAGAGCTTCAGCTGCGACACACAGACCTGTCTGTGGCTAAAAATGGAAAGCATACTTGCTGTTGCTGAGAAGCCACAAGAAGGCTCAAAATGAGGCAAGTGTACATGCAGAGATTCTTATTTGCATACATCCTGAAAGAATATCGGAGATATAAAAATTACAATATTAAAATATGTTTTAATGACTTTATCTTATCATCAAGCAGCAACAGTTAAACGTCCTAAGGCACCTAATCTTCTGTAATTATAAAATGTTCCAGGGCCTTTTAAAGAAGGTGCTCCATTGATACCCCTTTGATTGATCAGTATGTTCAATTGAATGTCTCATGCAACTAACTATTTAACCACATTATCAATGAATTGGAACATAATTTATGTGTCTTTTTTTCCCTTATCACATTTATTTATGTAAACAGGGACAGGACACAATAACAAAAACATGTATAGTATTTGTAAATACACCAGATTATACCCCAAGTCTGTTTGCTTTTGCCGTGACTGATTAGTATTAATATACAAAATAATATCACATCCTAGAAATTCCTCTTAAAATATACACAGAATTATGTCAAACATAAGGGAAAGAAAAAAACTCTGTGTTGTATCAGTGTCATCTTTCAGTTGGTGTGTTTTTTATGCTAGTAAGCCCATCTTTTATATTGGTGATAAACATATTCAGGACGTGATACAGACTGTGAACTTAAGTATTTATAACTGTGTATGACTCTCAGATTATCCAGGATTAAGTTTATCTGTGTAGGAGTTTCTTGGTGGCTCCAAACAACAGATGTATTTGATTTTTGACATTGAAGTAAGGAAATATTATTATTCATAGGGAAGCCTTAAGATAAAGATTTTCTGACAGTTTCCTTTTTTTCCAAATTTGTTTCTTGCTTATCATGTGTAACTGGATATAATGTCTAAGTTTTAGAACTAAGGTGTTCCAAAGTGTTAAATTGGTTTAGCTACAACTGAAAAACCAAGCATGTGTAATAAATACATCTTATATATCTTATGTGTCTGTCTTAAATGTTTTTGAATTGCATACAAATGACTACTTTTTACTTCTACTTAAGTAAAAATAGAGTGAAGTAGTTTTACTCCAATTACAGTAAACTTTTTGGCGACGATACCCACTTCTATTCTATTCTATTCTATTCTATTCTATTCTATTCTATTCTATTCTATTCTATTCGCGTTTAGTACTTTTTGTCTTCAGTCGGGTCTTGTAGGACCAATGTAAGCGAATGAACGTCAATGACTGGTCAGGTTCTCCAAACTGTCTTGTGATTGGTTAGATTTGTGGAAGTATAGCAGCGGGTAGTACAATAACGTGACTTCATATTGTTTGTTTTATGTTTTACTGTTTTAATAACTTATTTTTATATAGCTGTCTTCGGGAACAGTTGTAAAATCTGTGTCTGTATATTTTTTGAATAAGGTGTTACAAGATAGCTGCATATTATTGTGACAGAGTTAGCTTAGCGGGCTAACTTCCCATTGGAACCACGATAGTTAGCATTAGCGTCCAAGGAGCTACAACAACAACAGTAGTAGCTTCACCGAGAGACGAGGTAACAACTCCATTACAAGCTCATGCAACTTCTCACGATTTGTTAATTTCGCATTTCTTTGACTTTTTTTTAATTTTAAAGCAAATGTAATTAAATCGCACAATAGACACCTGCTTCATTCTGATGTCACCATGCTTTTCAGTAACTATGATGGGAAAATTTCAAACGATATTCATATCAAAACATACATTTTTATCTATCAGAGAAATAAAACAGTGTTTAAATAATAACATGATAATATCCTTTATGTCGTTTCAATTTTAATTGAAACATGTTATAAGTTTCCGTAACGCAAGTTACAGAAACTGCTCAATTTCCAAAAAAGAAATTAGATATTGCCATCTAATGTTGAACAAGGGAATTTTTATTGATATTGATTTTTAATGGTTAGACTAAATATCAGAAATTTGACCTGTCATTGTAATATTTGTCCTGACAAAAGTTATTAATGCAGAATATTATATTTTTGCCACTTAGAAAACCACATGATAAATGATACCTAGAGGTTGTATATTTTATTGATGGTAGTTCTTAAACTGTTAATTCTGTTAGAAAAAGTATGAAGTTCATGGCATTCTAAAATGATGAAAATGACATGAGACTGTGCAGAGATGGTGCGTTTCCAAAAGAAAAAAGTTTAGAGAAAAAAGTCTAACTTTTATTACATAAAAGTTTCACATTTTCTCTGATAGAGTTGGATGTATGCTGTAATTTATTTATTTTGAACATGATAGTAGTATAAAATCATGCACAAGAACAATGACAGTAAAGCCCAGAAGAGTTTTCCTTTTTGCCTTTTGTGACAAATTTCTGAATGTGTTTTTCTTTTTAGGGTTCAATTGAATGTTACATTTACTTTGAAATGGTGCTTTAAACACTTTTACCGCTAACGGATAAGTATAAGGTTGATACTACTGTAGTAGCGAAGCAGACTAACAGATGCTGAAATTTTGGAGTCCCTAAAAATCCAGTTGGTCACTCCATCTGCTCCTTTGCCCTTCACAGCATGAATTGCCCACCCACAAAACGCCTCAGAGGCCTTAACCAGGATGTTGTGACAGCAGTTGCATCTGATGACCCTTTTGGAGATGATGAGGAATTCACCCAGGATGACTTCGATGAAATAGACATCATCGCCTCACAGGCCTTCACTTCGGCAGTAGCAGCATCCACACCGAACGAGCCAGCGCCTGGGTCCACCTGGACATCCTCTGCAGGCCAAAACAAATCTGCAAAAGGGTCAAACAGGGGAGACTCCTACAGACTCCTGGAGGCCCAGCATGCAGAGCTGAAGAGGAAGGTGAGATGTAGTGATTTTACAAAATATCTCCATTCACAGGCATCTTATGTCCCTGTGCTACTTTGTTGAAACCCAAGCTATGTTTGTCCCATCTTCAGCAGCTTTCCTTTGTGGTTTCCCTGTGTGTTGCTGTGATACCTATGAAAATATTTTGTTTCCTATTTGTTTAATATGTGACAATATATTCTTGAAATTATAACAAACCTGAGTAAATATTTAATTTACATAGGGTAACAAAACTGTGTAACCTAGTAAAGTTAATTTGGATCAAATCTGCAAAATGATTGACAGAGAATCATTTCAGCTTTCTGAACTACAAGGTAGTTATTGTTCACTGCCTTTTTAAAAGAGTGAGTGGATAAACACTGGAGCAGTTTAAGAATGTTTTGCATTTTACACTCCATATTTTTAAATGTGAGTTGGGTGTATGTTGTTAGTTAAACGAGGTGGAAGAGGAGATTCTGTTGAAGAGCGGCGAGATCCGTGTCCTGAGAGACTCTCTGAAAGCAGCTCAGCAAGAAAAGGAAACTCAGAGACAGAACCAGGTTCTCCTGGAGACTCAGAGGCAGCGAGAGCAGAGCGACAGGGAGAAGGAGCTCAACAAGAAGGTGAGGATGTAGAGGATATGGACACACACGTACAGAGCTGGTAATCCTTTAAAGCAACTCTGACATGTTTTTTATGCACAGGTTCTGTCTCTGCAGTCTGAGCTGCAGTTTAAAGAAGCAGAAATCAATGAGATGAAGACCAAACTTCTCAGTTCAGACAAAAACAAGACTAGGTAGGCACCTCCTATTTTATCACCATCTTTTATAATGAAATGCTACATGTTCTCTAGCTGCATATAGTTATTTTTTTTCTGGTTAATTTTTTCTCATCAGCCATGTAATGGCAGCTTTTTTATTTTTGAAGCTCCAGCTCCAAAGTGACAAGCAGTTCTTATTGACTATCATGACATATTAACAAATGAGTTTTCTGCTCACCCATAAATTTTATTTTTTTAGTCCTAAAGTGCTCAGCACTCTCACCCAGATGCATCAGATGAGTGGCAGCTCCTCCTCCTCTCCAATAGGAAACGGTTTCATCACCAAGGAGACATTTGGAGCGCAGATTTCATCACGAGTGACGCCGGTGAAAACTCTGAGAGATGGTGAGTCACAAGATCTGTTGTCATGAAATCCTGAAATAGCCAAACGTTTGTCTTATCCGTACTTACAGTTAAGCTGTGTGTGTGTGTGTGTGTGTGTGTGTGTGTGTGTGTGTTTGTAATGCAGCAGCAGACAGAGGAGTATCTAAGAGAAGAACTGGTGATGGACAGGATATTTCTCATCCAGATCCGTTCCTGTCTGCCAGACGTGCAAAGATGCAGCACAAAGGTTCGTTTCCTTGACCAGCTGCTTCTAAAGGACTCCTGGCAGATTTATAATTTGTTGATATTTCATCACACACAGCTGTGCTACTTGCTTAGCAAGTGATGAGAAAATATAAGCTTGTTTCACCTATGGGGATTAGTGTAAATATATTTTAGTTCTGAAAATATGCCAAGATAATTTGTTGTGCTTGATTAAACTAATAATTTAGGATGTCCTCATCTGTTTTTCTGTCCCTGATACTGATCTGAGTCAGGTAACAATAGGCACAAATACTCTACATATCATCAGTATTACTATTGTATCTCACTTTACTCCTCCATCAGTGTCTTTTAGGAGGCTGCAATCTAACTATCTGTGTTTTTTAATGGGGAGAGATGTGATTGTGTCAATCAGAGGTTCTCAGGAGAAAATATAATATGCTACTCCAACTCAAGGACAACTATGTTATGATAGGATAACTACAATATTAGTGCTAACTACTGCTTTAGTTTAAAATTTAAACTAAAGCAGGGAGATCTGTGTGTGTATATATAGATATATATAAACATTCTGCTATTTAATGGAACAGAACGAACAGCCAAAAAATGACTGTGTTACATTTACAGGTGCGTCTTAAAAAACTGAAATACCCATAACAATTTAAGTGATTCAGTTCAAAAACACATGTTCCCTATATATAAAAAATACAATTACACACAGAGTGATTTATACTGCATTCAGATGTTTCTGCGTGATGATCTAATGTAATATCCATATTTTCTGAAAAAATGAAATTCGGATTTTCATTAGCTGTAAGCCAATATCATCAAAATGTTTGAAATATATCACTGTGTGTAATGAATTTTCACATTTTAAGTTGAGTTGCTGCAACAAATAAACTTTTTGATCATTTTCAAATGAACTGAGATCTACCTGTATCATGAGAGTTCTTTTCGTCCTGTTTGTGGTTCTGTTTTGTCCACTAGGAGGCGTCCTGCTTGGGGTGCTGCTGCAGCAGCCATTGGTTCCTAGCAGCCTTGGTCTCTCCCACCTGCTGTCGATGAGTGTGGCTGAATATAGGTAAACACCTTGACCATGAACAAAGACTATAACTTCCGCAATCCATTTTTGTAGAAGGCCCAGATAGCAGGAGTTTCAGAGGGAAAACGGCAGGGTTAAATGTTTGATGTTTCAGAATACGTCAGAATTAGGAATAGGTGTTTGCATTATCCCAGAAATGACAAAAGAAACTCAAGTTAAAGACTAATTCTATGAAAAGCATCATAGACTCTCCTCTGAAATGTATGTTTTTTTTTGTTTTTTTTTTTAATAAATAAAGATTTGAAGGAATATTGCATGTGACTTCATCTTCAGGCAACTGTGTCTTAAGCAGAACCTGTTATAGCTTCTGAACATGTAATCTTCACTGATGATTCTTTTGCTTTTATTTCGTTGTCGGTTCAGTCAGCTGTCCATCAGCCCTCAGCTCCACTCTGATCCCCTAGAGGGCGCCAGCACCGTTGGAGCCAACAGAGCTCCTCTGAGTTTGGTCCAAAGCCTGGCTGCGACCGGACTCAACCTGCTGAGCCAGAGTCAAACGACCATCGCCGTCAGCAACAGAGACAACAGGTAGTCTGACAGACTGAGGCTTTTCTAAAAGCTTTACTAAACTGTCCACATAGTGAAGCATCCAGAACCATAAATGATAACATACCTAAAGTATTTTCTGGACAACAGAGTCCTCTTGTGGTCAGATGTTGTAACAGCAACATTGAGATCACAACTGGTGCAAACCCAACTTTCAATGTAGTTATTCCTTTTAGCACCAGACTTTATCTATAGTTATAATTTGATATTGAGAATTTTTTTTTTTTTTTTAAATCTGTTTTGTGTAGGTCATGTCCTGGAGCGGTCTTCCTGCTTCCTCTGTTAGATCTTCATCTTTCTCAGCTCTGTTGCACTTTAGAGTCTCTTGGCTCCTCTTCCACTGGGATTTATGGGTCAGACTCCACCACTACCAGCTCAATCCCAGCGGGCCAAACAGAGTCTCCTGTACTGGGGAGACTGGATGAGGCTGGCATCACAGGTTTCAGAGTGGAGGACACTGGCTTGACAGCACTCAAGCTTCTTTACCTACTTTTGGCCCAAAGTGATGAGGTGAGGAGATACATGTATTTAAAGGAAGATTTGAATTATTTATACTTCAAGACTTTTTAAATTTTTTATGTTAATATTAATGTTCCACTTCAGGTGGTGGAAGCGGTGTTGTTGAGGAAGAACCAGACTACAGGCAAGGTACAGGAAAATCTAAATTATGCTAAATTTTAACATATTTATACATCAGCTGCTTTTCTTTGATATAGACTTGTTTCTCATCTGTTTGTAGACTGATCGCTCTGATGCACACATGGGCCTTTGCTCCCAGAATGCCTTGCTGCAGTCGTTGCTCCACTTGTGTGACGCGCGTCTCAGTGGTAACAGCGCTCAGAAAGAGAAGCTCTTCCTTAACGCTTTGAAGACGCTGTGTATCCTCATAAAACGGACACCTCCCACGCACTCTGACAGGTACATTTACGTCAACTTTTTTTATATATATATTTAGCCACAGTGCAGAGATTTAACGATAAGTACTAAACATTCGTCATAGTAAAATCTATCACTTTACCTCATTGGAAATGACAATAGTATAGATTAGAAACAAGTGAAGTTGAAATCAGTTGTCTGACTTTAAATCAGATGTATTCCATGTATTCTTCATGGAAGTACCAGAGTAATATTAAAACAAGTATGACATAAACACACTTTAAACATGAAATGTAGAAATGCAAAAACTGTTTGCTTGGCTTTTTCTGATTACTAGAAAGTCCCTAATGGTTTCCCTTTGCCTGGTTGGGTCGATCTAAATAATGATGAAAGATAAAAAGTAGTTAAAGAGGAAACTACTGACGTTTACAAGATTCCTACACTGTCCGGAAAGTTTGAGGAAAGAAAGTAGAGTATCCAATTTTTTTTTGTATCTTTTTGTTAAAAAGTTGTAACGTGTTCACTGATTGGAATAAGAACAGATTTTTTTCTTTTAGTTTTTGACTGACTGACCATTTAGAACAGATCAGGCTGAAAATCAACTGATTCTGACCAGGAATCCGCAAGCTCCAAACAGCAGAAATCCTGTTATCATGAATAAATCCAGGGTGAATCCCACCGAGTGTGTCCCCGCAGGACAAGAGGGCTCTCCTGTGCCCAGACTTCTCGTCGAGAAAATTTGACCAATTGCATTGAGAGACCGGTTTACCAGATCCATAATTTGTAGATTTGGAGGATGTCCAAAGAAAGGCTCCAAAAATATAGAAAAAGACAGTTCAAAAACGGAGCAAGCAGGGCAGGAATGGGCAGGGAGGGAGCAGAGGAAAAAAGCATGCGCCTTCACTGAGGGCAAGAGAGGAATCAATGATGGATATGACTTCCTTTTTCCTTATATTTTAGGCTCCAGTGTGTGTTGCAGGTGGTATGTCTGTGTTTAGCACAAGACACCAGGGTGCAGACGGTTTCAGAGTGTGTGTCTGTTCTCACAGCCATGTCTGACCATCCGACTCTGGCCAAGCAGCTCTGTTCCCAACACGGTGAGAAAAATCCTCTGACTTCAACTCTGATGTAATTTGATAGCACTTACTCACTCTGGAATCACTGATTTTTATTTTGTTTAAAAAAAAATTATATTTCTTGTTAAATAGTTTATTTTTCTCTTTTTCGTCTCTATTTTGCTGCAGATACTTGTATTTTTCTTAAGTTGTTCCATTTGATTCGGACCAGACCAGATACACTAGCTACACATGCCGACTGGATTTTGCTGGACCTGCAGGTAATATCAACTGATGTATTTTTCCATATGAATGAGGGAAGTTTTTAGTAGTAAATACCACAATACTGGTAAAGTATAGAAATCATATAATTTTGTAAAATCAGAAATCATGGCTCTTTCCTTCAGTTTTTTTCTGACTCTTGCAAAAGCATCTTCCATGTTTTCATCTGTGAATTGCACGTTCATCTTTTTTTTTTTTTTTACACTAAAAATTAACTATGTAAGAACAGAGAATGCTGGAAAATTAAATAAGTTTGGGATTCACTGTGTTTTCGCTGTTGCACCCCAGGTTGTGCGCTTGTTGAGCCGAGTGACTCAGAGAACAGAGAGCTGGACAAGCAGCAAGTCAAGCCCCTGCCAGTGTTACAGTGAGGTAGATAACTCTCATCCTGACTTCTGTTTCATGTTGAAAATTTTCTTGCCACACAATTTTCTCTGTTTCTTTACAGTTGGTTCAGGCGGTTGTAATCATTTTCCATCGTCAGTGGTTGGATATTCGCGGCTCTCAAGAGCAAACCTCTGGTAAATTGGGGGGAAAAAAATAAGAAAGGGACTCTCTTGAACATGCAATAAGTCCTGATTGGCTGTTTTCTTGTTTTTTTCTTTCAGCATCCAGCTCGTCTTGCTGGAGCGGCCCAGCCGCATCACTTCTCAGAGAGTCTCTGCTGCTTCTACATTGGCTGCTGCTGCATCACACGAGCTTCTCTGAAAGCTGCCGGCCGGTGTTGCACATGTATGACCAGATGATCCCTGCTGTGCGTGAAACATTGAGCAAGATCTCTGATCTGAGTGACAGCGAAGGTACCTGTACACAAAACATGAATAATCTTCCATCTTTAAAGCGGAGTGTGTGCTTAGCACTCTAGCAGAAGTTGAATATTTGGTAGATCACTGGTTTCCCTGTTCATTAGATAACTAGAAAGCATCTTATTAATGTACAAATTGATTTTTAGCAAACTAAGTGCCAATTTTCTCTGGGTGATAAGCATTAAAAACACATCCAGTTATATTTGAAAATCCTCATATGACCAGTTTTCTATTTTTGATTCACACAGCAAAGTAATGGCTGTTTCCGTTTTACCTGGAATGTTTCTGTTCGTCAGAGCTGGCCTTGGAGGAGATCTGCCGCTCCGACGCCGATGACACCGACGATATGGACACTGACGTCGCCTCGTAGCCTGGTGCTGCTGCTGAAATATGAACGACCGCCTACAGGCTGATCAAATAATTCAGAATAAGATCAGGTCAGAACAGAAACTTTGTGTTAAGCACTTTATCTGATGTAAACACAACAAAAATGATGGATCAGAGCTGAGCTTTGACAGAAGTATCAAAGAATCATTTTGCTTTTTGATGGATTTAATAAAAAATTAGATGAATGAATCAGAGCTTTCAGTGAGCATTGTCAGCTGTTTTCTGTTTTACTTTAATAACCAGTCCTCACTAATTCCTGTAACAAGTTAAATATTGCACAACTTTTAAAACTGTCACAAACAGAAAATGAAAATCTTTATTTGGATGTTCTTGGGATGTCCTAAAGATTTTAATGACACAAATACATTAATCAACTTTGCATATTTTCCTCTGAATTGCTGTCGAACTTTTTTTATTTATTCATTACCTCCCAGATAAAGGAAAAATGAATTAACATTTTTTCAAACTCAATTTTCTGTTTTATTTGTTTTTTTTTTGTTTGTTTGTTTTTTGGAGTGTAAAATGTTTTTTAAATTTTGCACATCCAGCAATCAAGTTGCTTGGTAACTTTTTCCCCTGAATGATCATTAAATTATTCAGGTAATTTAAGAAAATTGACAAACTTGTGTTGAGGACATTGAACTATTTTTAACAGCCTTTTTTAGTAATTAGCACTGCTTTACTGGTTTTATTTTTTTCAAATTGTAAATATTCCTACATTTTCTGGAGTCTTCCCAGTGGCTGCCAAACCATTTATTAATGGAGATAGATTTAAGCTGCTACAATCATATTTGAGGAAGCTCTGTACTGTTCTTAAGTATCCTTAGTTATTACTGCAGTTAATCCAGTATAATTTCCTCTGCTAAAAATGTTTGCAGAAAATACATAATTGTAATCTTGATGCCAAAAGATGTTTTATCTGCCAAATTGAGAAAAAACACATTTATTCATATCACTTGTATATATGAAGTTTTAAACCATCATGAAAAAAAAATCAACCAAAACATCATCTTTAGCAACACTAGACCCCGATGACTGGATCAGTGGACTCAGTTTTATATCTATTCCAGGTTGGATCAGCCTCAAACTCTGCATTTTATTATTGTGGCTTTTTGACGAGCTGTTTTTTTTAGAGTATCATTGAGCAAATAGCAAGATTATTTTACCTGGGCTGTGTAGTTGAGTATCCAGCCCGAAAACCAATGTTGAATGGAAATTGTAGCCCAAAATATTCAGAAAAAGACCCGTTTTGAGACCAGAACAACTTTAAACAGCCTTTATTTATTCTGTCACAACTGAAAACAGAAATTGCACTGTACTCTAAAACAAAAGGCATCCTGTTAGCAGGCGTAAAGCTTGTTGGGTAGTGATTTTCTTCATCACTTACAGGAGGACGGCAAATTACGAAATTATTTCAATTATTTCAAAATCAGCGTCATAGTATTTTTTTTTTCCTTATTGTAAGTCAAGTGCTCAAAATATATCCTCATTGTCCTGAAATGTGATTAAGTGGCTAATCTACTCCAGGTTTTTAATGCAATCTGCACTATAAAATGCCCAAAAATAGATGTTTTATACTGCTGCAACTTTAAGAAAATAATGTTTTAGTTACATTTTGTTCACATTAATTCTGATCAAAAAACATTTTTTTTCACTCAATACCCAAAGTATTTTTCGTGCAACTAAAGCAGAATTTTTGCTAATTACCAAATTCAGCTTATTTAGTTTTAACTGGATAAAACAAAATAAAAACATTGATTGTCTGAAAACTAAAGACACATTTAAGTTGAATTAATCTTTCTGCTCAGCAACACACTCTTTAAAACAGTGAACCATCCTCAACAGAATTTATAAATGTAAACACTTGAAAGGAGTTCTGCCTCTTGAGGCGCCACCTCCTTCAGAGACTCAAATTTAAATTTTGTGGTATTTTCAGGTGTTTTTCCTCCAACACATTTAACTAGCATCTCTACATCAGTAAATGACGAAGCTCATTTTTAAGTATTTGCAAAAGAAACAATGTTTTTCTTTTGTGTGTTGAGTCAAATTTCTCATTTTCCAGACTTAAAAGGTCTGCTACTTCAAAACTGAGTTACATAAAGGAAAAGTTCCCACACTGCATTGGTGTGCCTGAACACCCCTTGTATGTTAAAACTATGGGAGAGTAGCTGCAGTATAGATGGTTAGAAAACAAAACATTCTAATTCTTTAGATGAATGTTGATATGAGACCACTTTATCTCAAAGAGGCGGGGCGAAAGCTGAGACACAACTAGAAACAGACGAAGGCACCTAAGGTTCAAGTAATCCAGGATCATACCATTGGTAGTGTTTATCACTTCATGTTTGTAAAAAAAAAAACAACAAAAAAACAAAATGACTTTTCACTGTGAGATGCAAGAACATTTTTAGAGAAATGTTTCAACCTTGAAGTTGGAATCTGGTTTTGGTTGCAAACTGATTGTCGACTGCCTGGCCGCAAATGAAGAACAGTTCAGTTTAACAAAGAAAATGTTTGAAAAAATATTATTGTGAAATAATGTATAAGCAAGTTTTGGAACTCGCCAGCAGGCAGACGTGTACTGACATACTGAAGAATATCCTATAGTTATTCCAGAAGGATCAAATTATTGGTCAAGACAATTTAAACATCAAGGAAGAACACTGGAAAAAATAGGTTAGGAACTGTGAAATCCAAAAAAAACAGAAAAACTTTTTAGGACCTGAAAGATATCTTGAGTGATTGTAACCTGAGAAAATGTACAAATTTGGGAAATCTAGTTCGTGAAAATAAATACAGTTTTTCTGTGCTAAAAACTGATCTAATAAGCAATGGGATTTCTCGTGTAGTTGGAGTTCTTTAAAAAGATCAACTGAGTAACTGAATAAACTAAAATAAACTTTTTCCATCAAACACAGTTTCTTTCAAATGGCACAAGCATGTCTCACAGCCACAATGCTGCAATTCATCAGGCCCAAATTGTGGAAGAGATTGTGGGATTCGCCACAAAAAAAAATTCCCAGCCTTCAGACTTTCATCATGTTGGTTAAAAAAAAAAATCTAATTATAAATAATGCAACTCTATGCAATGTAACAAAATTTACTAATGCTCAAATGTTTAAAATGGAACCACATCCAAGTGGTGAGTTACTGTTTGACTTGTGGCCAGGCAGTGCGTTATTACAAATTCACACATGAAGGTATAGCCTATAAACATTTTATTGTTTCTCAGTCCATGTTGGCACCACTTGGTCGTCTTCCATCTGTTTGTTCTGCATTGTATTTTGGTTGTGATGCGTCTTGTGCACATTGTGGTGTTGCACACAGGGATTGGTGGTCAGCCACGGATGCATCAGCAGTTCGGATGCCTTCAGTCTCTCGGCAGGCACCTTCCTCAGCATGCAGCTAATCAGACACTTTGCCTGTGGCGACAAGCCACTGGGCAGGCTGAACACCCCACGCCGGATCTTAGCGAAAAGCGCAGCTGGCTGCGTGTCCTGAAAAGGGTATCGTCCAATCAGCATGGTGTACAGAGACACGCCCAGGCTCCATATGTCTGCAGCGCGACCCGAGTAGGAGCCATTTCCGTTGTTGAGCAGCTCGGGGCCAACGTAGGCGGGACAGCCGTGTCTGTCTCTGAGGAAGTCGTTATCAGGGTTACCGTGGAGGACTACACTGTCGTTAAGGCCGAGCAGGGCGAGACGAGTCCTGCAAAAAAACAAAACAAAAAAAATATTAACTAAAGTTCTCTGTTTTTTTTTTTTTTTTTATGTAGGATGCAGAACAATCATGGTATGAGCTATGCCACCTGGGACTGTAACCTACCTGTATTGGTCCATAAAGACGAACCGTCGTAGCTTCAGGTCCCTCAGGATGACTCCTTTATTGTGGCAGTGCACCACCGCATTCAGCATCTGAGCAAACAGACGCCCCGCCTCTTCCTCGTCCAGGCGCTTCCTGCGGCGCACGTATGCGTGCATGTCTCCATGGTGATCGGGCAGGAAGACGTACAGGTTGTCTTGACCGACCACCACATCTTGCAGATGGCAGATGTTGTCGTGTTTACCGATGCGCTCGTAGGCTGCCAACCGTTCCTGGAAACCCTGCAGAGGGAGAACCTGTAACCAGGACACACCGTTAATTGAAGTACTAAAAATTACCACCAGATGTGTTTTGGAGAATTTCGTCATATTGCCACCACTAGCAGCGTTATTAGTGTTACTCCGTCTTACCTGACAGGTATACTGCTTTTGTGTGCTTGTGTGCACGGCCCTATAGGTTTCCTCCCTCTCACAGCTTACAAACAGGAGGTACGGTCCCACTCTGGACGGGGGCTGGCTTGGGCTGGACTTGGGTGCGGGGTTTGTTGGTGTGAGGTACGAAGATAGGCCACTGGCAGAATGGGATGTCTCCAGACGGGCGAGCTTGCATTTCGGTAAGTTTTCCTGAGGCTCAGCCAGCAGCCTCTTCAGACACAGCTGACTTCTGGTTGTTGCCACGCCCATCCTCAGTTTTTACTGGTGAAGACAAGAGACATGAGATTTACTATTAACTTCTAATAACAAACATTAATTTTCATGCTGGTATTTTTGAGTCGTTGTCCTCTTCAACAAAAACCTGATGTGCAATGTGCAAAATATAATTAATATATTCTCAATAGAAATGTGGAATGCATGGAAAAATTTGTAATATCGGTGCAAACTGCCTTTTTTGAATTTTTATTTTGGAATGTTGTGGCCAAATATTGACTAATTCAAATCAAAAGACATGCAGGCAGCAATCAGCAGTTTTGATCAAAAATCCAATGTGCACACTTTGAAAGATTTCAGAATTTTCATGGAATATGATTTTTTTTTTCTTTTAGATTAACTACAATCAAATCACCTACTATATTTTACACATTCGCTATAAAAATGTAGAATGGATTAAAAAAGATCACGATATAGTTTTAAAATGCTAAAATAAGCTTAAAGCTTCTATTGGAATACAAGAAACTGACTAAATCAACCAGCGTCAGAAACCATCCAATAAATAGTTACATATTGAAAAATTTAAATGATCTCACAATAATAATATTATTATTATTGATATAACACTATTGTGTCAATTTTTTTCTTACAGAAACAGGAGGTGAAACGGCATGCTTCTAACAAAGCGCTAAAATCAACACTGGTTCATGTGTCAAATTTCAAATGCATGT